CCGCGAACACCGCCCACACCCTGCCACCACGGACGACCACCCACCCCCAAACCACAAACAACCCTAATGTGTAGAGCGTCAGATCGCTTCACACCATGAATAAGCCCAAAGTGAAGAGCGTTAAACCGCTTAGCAAGGGCTTTGGACTCACGGTACCATACTCACGGAATACCGCTTTGTAATCGTGCTGTATAATGCAGCACAATATCACCGCTTGGAGAAGATGGATATCCAGGGCGGATGCGAGGGAAGGAGGAGGGGCGAGAACAGCGAGTGGAGGGGGTAAGGCAAAGACAGGGAAATAACGATGGAGTACCTCAAAGTTTGATGCAAAAACGCATGATCGCACCGGCTCGCCTGGTGCGTCCCAGCCTGGGTTTTCTCCTTTTTTCCTTCTTTCCTTTTATCCTACCTCAAAGTTTGATGCAAAAACGCATGATCGCACCGGCTCGCCTGGTGCGTTCCAGCCTGGGTTTCTCTCAGTTCACAGTTCTCCACAAATTTTTGATTAGTACCAGTTAGTAATATTCATCTGAGAGGTGCTAAACTGCATGCAGAAGAGCAGAAGCTTCAGAGCGAAGAGCTAAGTTCAGCCATTAAAGTAATTAAAAGGTGTCGCTTCTTTGCCGAGAAAAAAGCACAACAGTGTCTCAAATTTTGAGAAAATGACTCAACTCTGCTAAATTTCAATCTTTTATTGCGTGATTAGTTTCTAATATGCATAAATTGTAATTTCGAGCAGCCTAACCTGGCCATTAGCTTCGTGTTCTCGGCAACGACAGCGGCATATACCTCATTAAGTTGCTGGTACTTTTCGTCTGCCATAATCGCTTCATTCTCCAACATTTCGTTCCGCGCCCTTGCACGACCCAGAGCATCCATCAGTTCTACGTAAGACATTTCACCTTCCTAATAAAACCAGCAAAATTTGTTTTTCTTTATGAACAACTCACAAAAACTGTAAAATTAAAAAGTGGAATATCAAACTTTAGGCTAAAAACGTGTTTTACGCTGATTATACGTGGTAATTACCTTCTTTTACAGCGTGCCCATAAAAAAGCTACAAATTGTGGAAGTTGAAGCAAAAAAAAAAATAAAATTTGAAAGCATCTATCAGCACATATGAAAATGTCTTTCCGATGAAATAGCAACGGGAAGTTTGCTGCTGGCATTTTTTTATTTTATTCCTGGCCTTTGCTGGATTGCATCATGGCCCAGAATTATACAAGGCTGGATGAAAAAAAAAACGAAGATTTCCAGTAACTCTGATAACCACCAGCAAGTACGAACAATACCTTTTGATCAGCTTGCGTCCATTCTCTCTCCCAATAAAGTCCAAGGGGTCCTGTGGTTGATTCTGTAGCCGATTCCGAAGATGTGCCCAGTTTCTGTGCCAGAATTCGATCATCATCCAGTTTGGCAATTCTAAAAAATAATTAAGACAATCATACTTTTATTTAAAAGAATAAAACTTATTCTTTTTTCTAAACATATGTTAAATAAATGCTTACTTTCTGACCAAAAATTCTATTTCCTTTCTTTGTGCGGCAATAATTTTCTCGCTCTCAACCAGTTTCTTTGTCAGCTCGTCCATCTAAGTTAAACACCTTGTATGCATTTTAGAAAAAAGCAAAAGACGTAAAAGCAGCAAAAAATTCAATGTTCCACTTATGTGCACATTGCTATGTTTGCCTACATCAATTGCAAATTATGAACATATTTCAAGCATTTCTGCGTGATTGATTCACGAAGGAACGCTCAAAAAAATTTGAGCACTAAAAGTAGTATGTTTAAAAAAAAAGTAGAAACCGTATGAACACTTGTTTCTCACCTTATCGCACACGAAAGCTTGATCCTTGCCTAGGCTTCGCATAAGACTCAATTCTTCTTCTTTTGCACTGAAACTTTTCATCATTTTCGACAAGTCTTCCTGCATGTTTCTTAGCGACCTGCAAATGACTAAATCATAGGTAATTATTGATTTTTTTCACAAAATAG